GTGGTCATCCTTCCTCTGGCTTCCATGGGGCACGCTGCCCCGCCCCTCACTTACCACATCGGGTCGCACTCCCTTGCCCTCACTGCACCCTGAGCTTCTCCGGGGCACGACAGTCACTGGATAAGTCTCTGTAACCTCTCCAGCCTGGCGCGGTGCTTGGCCTCGTTGAGGTCTGGCCCAGTAAGTGTTGGATGGCTGGATGCATGGACAGGTGTATGAAGAGGATGAAGAGGGAGCTTACCTTAGAGGACTGGGCGCATCTTGCTCTGATTTTGGCTCATGGCTTAAGCAGTGTTTCTCCAAAAAGGTGTGAATGGCTTTGTCACGAGGTGAGGTTTGGGGTCATGGAAGGCCAAGGTTGGAAGGGCGGGGAGGGTAGCCCGGTGGGCTCAGAATGCTAAACGTCATAGTAAGGCCTCCGGGTCCTGGCGAACAAGGCATTTTGTTTTTCAAGAGTGAAGGATGGAAGATGAGAAGATGTCCCATGAGCTGGTCTTCTCCCCGCCGCCCCATCCTGCTTAGCTGCAGGGACAGCTGGGTGTAGCCAAGGGGTCCGTGGACAGCCGTCAGGAGCCCTGGAGTCTAATTGGAGGACCCCCTCCCTCCCATGCCTCTTGGTTCTTTGACCTTGCAAAATTCATCTAAAATCTCTGACCAGCTTCTTCATCGATCTGTAGGCGTGGTGATACCCATCCTGCTGGCTCTTAGGTTGCTCGGAAGGGTTTTCAAGGTGACCGTGGATGTGACCGTGACCGTGGTTTGAAATTCCAGGGTAAGCTGATACCGATGCATGGCCGGCTCAGAGAGTCTGTGCAGGAAGCAGGCAGGGGCCTGGTGCCCATGGACCCCACTGTCCCCCCCCACCCTCCCTGGCAGCCTTGTTCCACCCGCTGCTGGGTGGTCCGTCCCCCCTCAGGCCCCCTGGAACTTGCTTCTGAGGCTGCTTCCTGAGACCCCCTTGTCCTCTGCTCAGGCCTTAGAAAAGCTGTTGACGGCCCTGGGGAGCCTGCCGACAGGACCCAGGTTCCTGGGATCAGGGGGCTCTTCGTCCGTGGGGAAGAAGGCGGTGAGTGGCCGGCGTGGGGGTGGGGGCATGTCTGGTACAGCAAGAGACAGTGCCGGGCAGTGAGGGCACTCAGGGCCTGGGATGGGCTAAACTGTGCAGGCCCCCACTCTGCCCCCAAATTCATATGCTGAGGCCTAACCCCCAGCATTCCAGAAGGTAACTATTCGGAGGTAGAGTCCTTAAAGAGGTAGTCATTAGGTTAAAACGACATCGTGTGGCTGTCTCTATAAGAAGAGGAGATCAGGACGCAGACGCACATGGAGGGAAGACCCTGGGAAGACACAGGGGGACGGCCGCCAAGGAGAGAGCCCTCAGGAGAGCCCAGCCTTGCCCACACCTCGATCGCTCACTTCTGGCCTCAGAACCGGGATTTCTCTTGTTTACGCCCCTCATCCTGTGGCCTTTCCTGATCGGAGTCCTGCAGGACATTTCACCTGGATTTGGGTAGGAGACTTATTTTTTTTTTTTTTAAAGATTTTATTTTATTTATTTGAGAGAGAGAGAGAGAGAGAGAGAGAGAGCAAGCAGGAGTGGGGCGCGGTTGGACCTCCTTCATCTTGGCGATTTTACAGAGACTTATCCAGGCAGGCAGAGGGAGAAGCGGGCTCCCTGCGGGGCTCGATCCCAGGACCCTGGGATCATGACCTGAGCCGAAGGCAGACGCTTCACCGACTGAGCCACCCAGGTGCCCCTGGGTAGGAGACATCTTTACGTGGTTCTTTGTGGGATCAAAACCTTGCAGTGACCGGGGGCACTGGGCTTGGCCCGTTTTTCTCCTTCCCTATGTCCCTAGTGGGCACACTGTATGTCCCACGATCGCGTGTGTCCTTCATTGGCACGTGAGCCCCACGAGGATGGAGCTGTGTGTCCAGTTTCTTCACGCAGGGTCCCCACGACCGAGCGCAAGTAAAGGCCTATCTAAGCATGGGTTCGTGTCTCCTGGAAGAATTCTCTCAGAAACGGTGGCGTGAAGTTACATTCCTTACTCTGGCCTTAAGTCCGGAATTTTTTAATTAAAATAGCTGGTTTTCTGCAGGCAGGTCTCCGCTTAGAGCTCACGCCCTGTGGGGACGAGCTGGTGTTTCTACAGACCGTGTCCCATCTACTCTCTTACCTCCCCTTAACCACCCCATGTGATTAGCTCACGTGAAGGTCAGAGAAGAAAGCTTCATTTACTAGTTTCTGTTCGCACTCGGTGGACTGAGCCACCGACGACATCCATCTGCCCACGAGGTCGTGGCCAGCCTCCGGAGGGTTAACTCAGAGAGGCCAGGGGTTTGATCTCTGTGGTGACAGGGGCTGGCCCAGAGTTGGGGACTCAGTCCTATTTGAGGAATGAATGATTCTGTCATTACAAAGCACAGAGAAGTAAGTGCTGAGCGTTTCCTGGTGCGTCAGCCCCTACCTTGATGTGCTGTCCTTCTGCTGCTGTTTTCCTCCCCCGGCTGCCGCGGGTTCCGTCTCTGTCGGCAGCCCCTGATGAAGGCATCCTGTTAGCGGTTCCCTATGAGAGGAGAGGCCTTCTTTATCCAGTGGACCCCTGCTCGCCTGACACGCAGAGGGTCCCCGATTTGGGGAAACTCTTTTCTTGCCTAAGGACCTTTGGCTCCTTCCCATTTCTCTTCCTCTGTATCCAATTTTCTCCTGGGTTTTCTCTCTGTCCCCTCCTGTCTTAAGATTTGTGGTAAAGCTCCCATAATAAGACTTAGCAGGGTGACACGCTCAAGTACACAGCTCGGTGATGTTTAGTACGCGCGCGATGTTGGGTGATCCGGTTACAGAGCAGTTTCAAACCCCTCCTCCTCCCCAGAAGGGCACCGCAGACCCAAGAAACAGTCCCACCCCATTCCACTTTCTCCACCGTCCTCCCCCAGCCCCTGCCAGCCACCGATCTGTGCCTGTGGATTTGACTGTTCTGGGCATTTCATGTCCACCGGAGTCCCCCAGGATGTGGCCTTTCGTGTCTGGTTTCTTTCACTCGCTGTAGCGCGTGTCCGGGCTTCGCGCCTTCTTGGGGCTGAGGACCGTCGTGCTGTAGGCACACACCAAGTCTGCGGGCCCCGTTGGCAGCCGGCGGACGTCGGGTTGGCTCCATGTACTTCTCCTGCTTCTCTAGCTCTATGTCCAAATGCAGACTCGAGTCTGGTGCCGGGGTGCACAGATCGCTGGCCGTGTTTGTTTGGAAAGCAGGTTCACGGTCCATTTCTCCCTCCACGTGTGCTTGGTGTTCGTCCGGCCTCGGTTTGCTCATCCATGAAATGGGCATAAAAGCCTCTGCCCTCCTGACTCAGCCCTGCGGGCTGTTCTGGGCGACTGCACCCTCGAGTGTGAGTGTGAGTCGTTCACCAGCCACACATGTCAAGTGGTGGTTCTTCCATTCCTCATTTTTCCTTTGATTTTTCTCACTTTCTCCTCTGCTTCCTTTTCCCCCTCCATTCCTGAATGGCTGCCTTTGAATCTTCTTTCTCTGGCTTCTGCCGTCCTGTCTCTTTAGCTGGGCTGGGGGACACTGCACCAACGGGGTGAGAATGCGTGCATCCTTGCGGAGGCTCTGCGTCGGGCTTGGAATTAGACGAGCTGGAATTCGTTGGCACAGCTTTGAGGCCTTTTGCAGGCCAGGAAGTAGCCAGATTGATGGATCCTTGGGTAGATATTAGAATCCAAATAAGCAGACCCAAGGGACACTTGGAGGAAAGTGGCAGATGGAGGCGTGCGCTTTTCTGGGTAGGTTGCCTCGCCAGGGCTAAATCTTCGGCAGTGGCGGTGGGGGGGGGGGTGCGCGTCGTCCCAGCTGAAGCAGGAACTTCTTGAAGGCAAGAGAGCAACGGCTGAGTTCTGTTTCTCCCGCTTTGTGCTTGCTCGAGGCGCCCTTCCTAGTGTTCCGGACATATGTGATCACAACTTTGCTTGCTTCGTCTGCTAGTGGCTACAGAGGGCTTTTGGGTATAACGTGTCTCATGTATCTTCTCAACAGCCTGGCCAGGTGGAGTCCGCTTCTCACCATAAGCAAACTGAAGGCTCAGAGAGGTTAAGGAACTTGCTCAGGATGCACAGCCAGCCAGAGTTGTGGCCGAGCTCTCTGCTTGGAAACCAGCTCCTCCCACTGCCTCCCTCCTCCCTCGCAGGGGGTTTACAGCAGATAAAATCCATGTGGCGGCACTTCTTTGGGGAGATGGGAAATGCATGCTTGCGCGGTTGGACCTCCTTCATCTTGGCGATTTTTGCTTTTTCACGTCTTAGAATGTTCAAGTCCAGGAACTGTATCGAAGTTGCAGGTGGCCTTCACGATGACTCATTCGGTATGGATTCCTCTTTTCACAGCCAACTTCAGAGAAGCTTTAAGGAAAACTGACTTCCTGCTAAGTTGGTGTGTTCCTCATTTGCTACCAGAGGGTCTGATAGAAGGAACTCTTGTCGTTCGTGGTGACAGGCGCGGAGCCAGCTCAGAACGCTGTTGCCGCTTGGGCTCGGGGGTCTGGGTCACTGCCGCAGCTCTGTGTTGGACGGAGTCACTGAAAAGTCTGGCTCCGACTGGGTCTGGCGGGAGGGGTGGGGGGTGTCGGAGGGAGCGAGCCCGGGGAAAGCTTGCCCGGAGGAAATTCAGTCAAGATGTTCAGTTTAGCACCTCTGGTTTTCTTCCAGATCAGAAGAGGAAAAGATTCTGACTTAAGTTTTAGGGTTGCCATGAATGGAGCTCAGAGATGGATCGAGCCTGGGTGCTTTGTGGCTCGCGTGGACTTCCGGAGAGAAAGACGGGTGCCTGGCGGGTAAGAGAGGCTCTTGCCCTTGGCTGGACCCTCAGCAAATCGCTGAGCTTTGAAAACCTATGACACGAGTGGTATTTGCTGGCTCAGCCACGGAAAGTGCCCACTAGCCTTTGAGCTGTTCAGGGACCTATGGTGGCATTTTGTGTGTATGTGTGGGGGGGGGCGGGGAGGGAAGTGGTATTTTTTTAAGCCTGGAGACTTCTCTGAGGTGAGAGAATTGCTGGGCATTAGCTAGAAGGTTAAAAGGGTGCCTTCCCAAAGCAGAACCCTTTGGCATGTTAACAAGATGAGGAGTTCGTTCAGTGAAAGAAAGCTGAGCCCCTGCAGTGTGCACCCTCCAAAGCCAGAGATCCAGTAGCGGATAGAGTTCACCTTCTACCATGAGGCTACAGAGAGTAAACAAGACTATGTAAGCTGGGTGGCGATTAAAGAGATTTGTCATTTTAAATGGGATGGGCAGGGGAGGACATCTGGGCAAAGCCCGGGAAGATAGGAAGAAACAAGTGTGTGTGGATTTCTGGGGCAAGAGCATTCTAGCCAGAAGGTAGAAGGCAGAGCAAGTGCAAAGGCCCCGTGGCCTGGGCAAACCTGGAGTCCAAGAACAGCAATGAGGTCAGGGTGGCTGGGGAAAAGTGAGTGTGTGTGGGGGGTGGGGAGTGTGGGGGGTGGTGGGAGGAGCCAAGGCAGGAGGACCTTGGAGACTTTTCCTCCACATGCTAGGAGAGTCATCGCAGGGGCCACTGAACAGAGGATTGATGTACCTGACTAGGCACTTCCAGGGATCACTCTGGTTTGCTAAGAAGGGATTGGGGGTGATGGTGCCTGGGTGGCTCAGCTGATGAAGCATCTGCCTTTGGCTCAGGTCATGATCCCGGGGTCCTGGGATCGAGCCCTGTGTCTGGCTCCCTGCTCAGGGGGGAGTCTGCTTCTCCCTCTCCCTCTGCCCCTCCCCGCAGCTCCTGTTCTCTCTCGCTCTCAAGCTCGCTGTCGAATAGATAAAAAAATCTTAAAAAAAGTTAAAAACGATAAATGGGAAAGTGAGGATCGGAAGGTGCGGAAGGTGTGGGTTTTGGGAAGGATATCCAGAGTTTGTTTGGGCATGCAAAGTTTGAGATTCTTCTGCCTATTCAAGGAATGATCCTGAGTAAGTATTTGGAAAGGTGGGGCTTGAGTCCAGGGAAGTGGGCTGCAGGTATAACTTTGAACTCATCATGGTGACTTGGTGTTGGTCTTCAGGCTGCCATATTGGATGAGATCACCTAGGAAGTGAGGTGGGTAGAGAAGAGAAGAGGGCCAGGGATGGGGCCCAGAGGCACCCCAAAGGGGGTGAGGGGAAAACCAGGTGCAACAGAGACGGTTCAGCCACGAGGTAGGAGGGAAACCAGGAGACCAGAACATTCTCATTGGGATCTGAGAAGGCAGCTCACAGTCACTGGGACGTGGGAGCTCTGGAGGCTTAGACACTAGGCACGCCCCCAACAATATAAGGTTTGCAGCCTCAGGGGGATTTGAATTTTCTCCTGCTGTCTGCATCCTTTCAGTACAGATGCAAACACATCAGCGTGGCCCACGTCCATGTTTGCATTTCTGCATGAAGTCCATGTTTGCATTTCTGCATGAAGTCCATGTTTGCATTTCTGCATGAAGTCCATGTTTGCATTTCTGCATGAAGTCCATGTTTGCATTTCTGCATAATCCCACCCAGGCCTCACTGGCAGTCCCATCCACAGATAGTTTGGGGCAGGAGATATGGCCTCACTGTCTCATGTGGTGCCGGGAGGTGGGGGGGGAGAATCTCTTAAATTATTAACTTTTAATCACATAAATAACGTATGAATTAAACAACACATCTGCCACGGGGAGGATGTTGGTTCTTGGACAAAATATCCTAGCTCTGACCAGTGATTGCTGGTGGCCCTCCAGAGGGTCACGATACACAAACAGATCAGTGATTTATCCGTGGTATTAAATTTTCCCGGTGGTCGGGGAGGGATGAGGAAAGATGAGTCTTCAGAGGCTTCTCAGAGAGTGTTGTCCTGAAAAAAAGGTTGAGAAGCCAGAATTAGACTGACCCTCGTTGCCCACCTCCCAAGGCCCTTGTGAAAATATATCCTAAGGATTTGTGGGTTTAATTCTTTTTTTTTTAAAGATTTATTTATTTATTTTGAGAGAGTGAGAATGAGAGAGAGAGAGAGAGCACATGAGACGGGAGAGGGTCAGAGGGAGAAGCAGACTCCCCGCCGAGCAGGGAGCCCGATACGGGACTCGATCCCGGGACTCCAGGATCACGGCCTGAGCCGAAGGCAGTCGCTTAACCAACTGAGCCACCCAGGCGCCCTGTGGGTTTAATTCTTCATTGGAATAAATAACAAGAATGTTGTTATTTTAGAAAGATTTAAAGAGAGAGAGCGAGCACGAGCTGGGGGTGGGGCTGAGGGAGAGGGGAGAGAGAATCTCAAGCAGGCTCCCTGCTGAACGTGGAACCCTGTGTGGGGCTCGATGCCAGGACCCTGAGATCATGACCTGAGCTGAAATCAAGAGTCAGATGCTTAACCGACTGAGCCACCCCGGCGCCCAAATAATGTATTTTTTAAAATTTATTTAATTATTTTTTCTCCCTGGCTTTGATCGGGTCTTTATTCAAAATTAGCTGTCCAATATAATGTATTTTTTTAAAGATCTTTATTTTTAAGTCATCTCTATGTGCAACGTGGGGCTCGAACCCACAACCCCAAGATCAAGAGTCGCATGCTCCTCTGAGCCAGCCAGGCGCCTCCCCCAACAATGTATCATGTCTCAGTTTCTTTACTCAGTAACGTATCTTGAAGATAATTTCTTGTTAGCACATGTCCATCTGTGTTTACTTGTAGAAGCCATGTGCTCTCCTGTAGTATGGATTTAACATAGTGCATTTTGTATTTTGTATCGATGGATAGAGGATTTCTAAGGTTTTCTTTTGCTCCCCTGCCCCCGTCCTTTGTTGCAATTAAAGGTGCCATGTAGTAGTTGTTTTTGCGTACGTGTGTGGTGTGTGTGTGTGTGTGTGTGTGTGTGTGTGTGTGTGTGTGTGTGTGATGACTGTTTCTCGAGGGTCTCGGCGGGAGGGGGCTCTCTGGGTGATGGGGCCAGTGGTCCGCTGAACAGGCTGCAGTCTTAGAAGTGGGAGATGGGGAGCGGGTCGCCTGGGCGCCCAGCCCGCTTCAGGCTCTGTGACAGGCCCTCGGGCACCTTGTCTCCTTAATCTTTATGACAGCCACAGGACAGGAGTGTTTTCCATGCTTTACTCTAGCTATGCAGGAGTTGGAGTTTAAAAGTGGTGGAATGACACATGGAAGGCACGCAGCAGGTGGTTGAAGAGAGAGGACGTGGGCCCGGGTCTCTGTCCACGGGGTGCGAGGTGGACCCGGGTCTCTGTCCATGGGGCACGGGGTGGTGAGTGTGAATGATCTTGAGGGTCCTTCCGAACCATCTGAGCCCCAGGGCAGCTGCCGGTCTGAACTCATGGATGGAGCTCATGGTGAGCCGACTCCTGGCTTTATCCACAGGCTAGTCTTCTTTTATTCAGGGAAGGGTTCCTTATTTTTCGAATATTAGAGTGCATGAAGTTGCTTTTGTTATCCTGTGCTTTCACTCATGAGGCAGAATGGGCAATAATTTTCTTAAAAAAAAATCAGGTCGTTGTGTATTAAGTAAAAAAGCAAGCTAGAAAACACGCACAATAAAACTTTGAATTTGTGTAAAAATAGATGTGAGTGTGTGCGCACGTGTGTGCATCTAAAGGAAGGTCTGAAGGAGCGTGCATTGGAATGCTGATAGGGTAGATCTTGCTGAGTGAAGGGGTTATGGGTGTGTGTAGTTGCTTTTCTGAGCTTTCTGCACTTAGCCCCTCTCCTCGCTTTCCTTTAGATAACACGTATGAGTATCGTAATTGGGGAAACAAAATACATTGTAAAAGAGAAGCATCAATAAATATTTCATTCAAATGTAAAAGGAAGCACCCTTGTGTTCATTGCAGAATTATTCATAGTAGCCAAGATGTGGAAACAACCTAAGTGCTCGTCAGTGGATAAAGAAGTTGTGATTTATATGTATTATAAATGTATACATTTATGTATGTATATAAATATATAAATTTTATATATAAACACACAATGGAATGCTATTTAGCTGTGAGAAAGAAGGAAATCCTGCCATTTGCAACAACATGGATGTCTTTTTTTTAAAAAAAGATTTTATTTATTTAGTTGAGAGAGAGGGAGCATGAGCTGAGGGAGAGGCAGACTCCCCACTGAGCAGGGGACCCGATGCAGGATTCGATCCCAGGACCCTGGGATCGTGACATGAGCCAAAGGCAGACGCCTAACCCACTGAGCCACCCAGGCACCCCTCCTCCTCTGTTGTAGAAGCAAGAGGAAGTCATGGTGCATCTATAGGAAGGGTGAGCTCCACTCGTCTGAGGGCAGCCTCCTCCCAAGAGAAGGACCAGTCTGGGCCAGGCTTGTAAACTTGGCTGCACCTTGGGAAGCGTAACTGGACATGGGTGCCCAGGCTGTACCCAGGATGGACATCAGACCAGGTGAAGCTCCTCAGAGGCTTCCAATGAGCAGCTGAGGGTGAGAAGCTGAGAAATTAAGGGGTGGGGGAGCAGATGGGTGGTGGTGCTAGGGCACTGTTAATGACATCCATTATGTCCCAAGAATTTTCTTTGCACCAGACCAAGGACTGTGAGAACGCTTTACCCTCATTTTATAATTTAACCCATATAGGCTGTGAGATGAGTGCTTTTCTTTTTCTTTTTTTTTAATTTTTTTTAAAGATTTTATTTATTAGAGAGAGAGAGAGCACAAGCAGGGGGAATGGCAGGCAGAGGGAGAGGGAGAAGCAGGCTCCTGGCTGAGCAGGGAGCCCGACGCGGGGCTCGATCCCAGGACCCCGATGCGGGGCTCGATCCCAGGACCCCGAGATCATGACCCGAGCCGGAGGCAGACACTTAACCGACTGAGCCACCCAGGCGCCCCAAGATGAGTGCCTTTCATTTGCTCACTGGGCAGATGAGGAGTGAATCATCCTGCCCGAGGGCACCTGGCTGGCAAGTGTGGGACTGTGATTTTAACAGGAGCTCACAGCCTCAGTGTAAACAGTGGGGACAAGGGGGAGGTAGCGGGATGGGGGGCGGTTTGCTGAGAGGGTGGGAATGCCAAGGATCTCAGGGAGCCCGGGGCTAGGCATCGCCTAGCTAATGTGGGCTGGACGGATTGAGGAGGTGTGAGACACGGAGTGATAGAGAACCATAGTCAGCAGGTGCTAAAATGTGTGAGAAAGCTCTTCTTCCTTTCGGCTTTGTGCCAGTATGTGTCTTGCTCTCTAAAGCATTTTTTTAAAAAAGATTTTATTTATTTGTCAGAGTGAGAGAGAGAACACAAGCAGGGGAGAACGGCAGGCAGAGGGAGAAGCAGACTCCCAGCTGAGCAGGGAGCCCGATGCGGGGCTCGATCCCAGGACCCTGGGATCATGACCTGAGCCGAAGGCAGACGCTTAACTGACTGAGCCACCCAGGCATCTCTCTATAGCATTTTTATATCTAGATATTATTTCTTTACACCTTGTTCTGATGTTTTCCTATCTAAAACATTTTTACTAGATGAATAACCTAGGCTCTTCTCTTACTACAAGTGGTGGATTCATACAAAAACACGGATTGATGCGTGTGGCTCTGTTTTCCCTCACATTACACTCAGCTGCAAAAGCATCATGACAGAAGGTCAGCAATATAAAAAATACGAATTTTTAAAAAAAAATGACCCATGGAGGGGCACCTGGGTGGCTCAGGCATTGGGCGTCTGCCTTCGGCTCGGGTTGTGATCCCAGGGTCCTGGGATCGAGCCCCACATCGGGCTCCCTGCTCGGCGGGGAGTCTGCTTCTCCCTCTCCCACTCCCCCTGCTTGTGTTCCCTCTCTCGCTGTGTCTCTCTCTGTCAAATAAATAAAAAGAAATCTTAAAAAAAAAATTAAAAAAAAAATGACCCATGGAAGAAACTGGGCCTTTGGCAATTCCTTGAGTTTTTTTTTTTCCCCTTCTTCTTCTTCTTTTTCCTTAAAAAATCAGACGATATGAGCTCCCCCAGAGAGCTTGTCAAGAGTGAGCATGATGGGGGCCCCAGGGTTCTTGAAGGATAAATGAAGTTCTTCGGATACATTCAGGAAGTGACAGCCAGGAACGGTTCACACCATTCATAAAATATGCAACTCCCTACTAGAGAGAGAGAGAGAAAGAGAGGATTCATGGGATTTTTTCCCCCCTCTGAAATAAGTCCACCAGCGCTCCGAACACAGGCTATGTGATTCTAACGCTGGGCAGCTCCTACTTGCTCAGGCCTGGCTGCTAGAGCCAGGATGGTCCCAAGCCAAGTCCCTGCAGTCAGTTGCACCCCCAGAGGAGCCCAGCCTGTGCCTGGGGATGGTCGCACCTTCAGAGCAAGAGCTCCTGGAAGCATCCCGTGAGGATGCTGGGAAGGCGTTTTAGGAGGCAGATTGGCAAATTTGACATTTTGTCTTTGGCGTCTTCGTTCCTTGCTGGATGTTTCTGGTGGGGACTGGAGGGCATAGTTGATGTACGTGTACTACGTAATCACGGAGTGGGGTGACGGAGATCTGTCCAGATTCACTGTTGGGCGGTCAGCTGAAATGTGTGGAATGTGAGCTTTCAGGAAGCTCAAGGTCAAAGTCTGCGACCTTCCTTCCCGGTGATATGGCGGCATTCTGTTGTAATGCAGACGTTAGGGGACCGGTAAAGAAACCTACTGTGGTAGGTGTCTGATGTCTGTTGTCTCTTACTCTCCTTGTTCAGGTAGTAACCCCTCGGTTTTTCTGCAGAGGACCGAAGGTGCAGTGGATTCATAGACTGTGAACGGTTTGGTCGGAGCTGGTGGTACCCCTGAACTCATACACACATGCCCCAGGCTTGACCTGACCCCCTCCCCGCCATCCGTGCCCTGGCCGCCGTGATTCAGGAACAGTCACGTGACTGCTGCTGGTCCCCCTCCCTGGGACCTTTTGCTGTACATTAGGGAAAGACATGCTGCTCCCCCCTACCCCGACATTGTTAAGCTAGTAGGGTTATAAACTTGGAGCTGCCATGACTGCTTTTGCTAATACTTGGGGAGCGCCTGAGAATGAAGGTAGCGTAAAAGAAAGCAGAACCGAGATAATGTTGTTTGAGCACCTAGATCCATCGGTACCTGAAGGCAGTACACTCCTGAGCTCCCAAGTTATGTAGGCCTGTAGGCCAGTAAATACTGCCATTCTTCTAGTGTGTGTGTGTGTGTGTGTGTGTGTGTGTGTGTGTGTGTGTGTGTGTCTAAAACAGTTTGGTTCTG